GAGAGAGAGAGAGAGAAAGAGGGAGAGAGAGAGAGAGAGAAAGAGAGAGAGAGAAAGAGAGAGAGCGTGCTTGTGTGTTTTGTGTATTTTTGTACATGATTTTAAACATCCGTTTGTGTCCTTTTCACCATACGATGCCCGTACACACGTACGTACGCACACGCACACCAGAAGAGTATGTACGTCTTTTTAGTTTTTGTGGTCTCTGGTTTCAGCTTTTGTAAATATAATATATAAAAGCATAATAAGGACAAAAGCTATCTTAACAAAAACACACGACTGTTGAACAAACAGATAATTATTTGGAAATCATGAGAATGTGACATGTAAAATATCAAAAATACACTGGGCATCTTAAAGTATGGAATGTAAACTATCATAAAAAGGTTTAAAAGTCATAGCAATCGAAATATAATATTATCTGCCTCTGACACTTTGACCACTGTGGTATGGGAACAGGGCACACTGTCAGACAGCACATACATAGTAGGCTTACTAGAAACGAATTCAGCTTTAATATACAAATTGTAGTAGTCAGAAGGAACAATACTGTGATCAACTCTATTCATTAGAGCCACATTCTGAAAAAGTATAGTCTTCACACGAGTATTTCCTCAAGGTTCACTAAGACATTGCATACATATTTTCTTTCATTGACTGTACTACCTAAATCTCCGCTTCGCTAGCTTGTTTCCATCACAAAACATCTTTTGAACGCACATACGTTTTTCCACGAAGAATTATAATTCAAATCAAAATTCTGTCTTAATTAGGAACGTGTTATATCAAGTTCTCATCTTCTTGTTTGTCTATTGAATTCCCCTGTTTATTGACTGTATCTTGAATCATTCAGAATAATATTTCTTTTCAATCTTATTCTGTTGAATCTTTTAGAAAAATATTTCTGATTATAATAATTATTATCGTTTTGTATTCTCCAGAAATAAATTTCTGATCGCTATTATTATTTTGGATCCTTTAATCATTTCTAGTTGTCTTTATCATGTTGAATTGTTAAGAAATCTGATTATTATAATCACGTAGAATTCCTAAGAAAAGTAATTCTAATTCTAATTCTAATTCTAATTTTGGATCTTTTCGAAACATATTTCTGATTATTTTTTTTATAATTTTGGACCCATTAGAAATATATTTCTAATTATTATTATAATTTCGGATCTCTTAGATTTATATTTCTAAGTATTATAATAAATTTTGAATTTTTTAGAAATACATTTTGGATTATTATAACAATTTTGTTTCCTTTAGAAATATATTACTAATTATCATCACCATGCGTCCAAGAACAATAAAAATCACTTACACACAGAAGACAAGCCCCACAGCCACGTTCTGCATACAGGTACCCCCGTGCAGACAGTACGTTTGAGACTCACAAGGGACCGCATTTCGCTGCTGGTTCACTGAAAACAACAAGGGAAATAATGGTTGAAAATTTGAGTAAAAGAGAAGCACATCGACACAATATTATAGCAGTCACAGTGCTGAGGGAAAGCTAGATGGACAAACTGGCATGATCATAATGTCTCTCTCTCTCTCTCTCTCTCTCTCTCTCTCTCTCTCTCTCTCTCTCTCTCTCTCTCTCTCTCTCTCTCTCTTTCTCTCTTTCTTTCACTT